AGCCTGTGCTCCGCAACGGGAGAGGCCACAACAGTGAGAGGCCTCAATACAAAAAAAAAAAAAAAAAAAAAAAAAATAGATTCTAGAAAGAACAAATATAAAGAATGAGAGAGAAAGGCAATATTCAATGAGGTATTAGGTGAGCATTTTCCAGACTACTGAAAGACACTAATCTTCAGATAAATCCCAAAGAACCCCAAACGGGACAAAGAGAAATCCAAACCTAAATACACTGTAGTGAAATTGAAGAACATCAAAACAAAAATGCAGATCTGGGAAGTAGCCAGAGAAAAAAAAGACAGATTGCATGCCCAGGCTTGCTAGACCATAAATAAGAGTGACAGCTAACTTCTGAACAGTAACAATGGAAGACAGTGGAATAACAGCTATGGGGAAAATAAGCATTGACCAAAACTTCAATCCCACCAAAATCCCTTAAAACTTCAATAAAAAGATTTTTTAAAAAGTCAAAGCCAAAGGACAGGAAGAAAAGGAGAAAAGATAATAAGATTTTGGAGGCTGCAACTGACTTACCAGGCCAGTTCTCAGCTGATTCCTGGTTAGTAGTGGGGGAAGATAAGAATCAATCTATGTTAGTCTGCAGAATCCTGAAAAGTCTCAGAAACCATCAGCCCTTAATGCCTCTGCAACTAGGAGTGAAGGAGAGGTGAGGATGGGGTGAAAGTTATTAACTCTTAAGCAGTTAAGTATCTAGACCCCTTATCACTCATTCTAATGGGTAAACCCATCTCCTACCCCAACAGAAAACTTGGTGGTTTATCTTTCAGAGAGGATAAAACAGTCTTTGGACTAGAAGTTGACCTAGACAGTTGAACACACAGGTATCTTACTGAAATCAGCAGATTAACTGACCATATTTACTCACTAAGGAATACTGAGGTACCCAACCCTCTTCTGCTACACAGCAACTAGAACAATGGCAGCTAGACCTTTACTCTCTAGGCAAATGTTTCTTCTCTGAAGAATCTGACTAGCCTAAGCAGGGGGAAAGCTCCTAAGATATTGGCACCCGGGATTCCATAACGAATGACTCGCCAATGATTCTCAAAATTGGCTGCTTATTGGTATAAACTTGGAAGCTTTAAAAAATAGTGATGCCTGTGTTCCCCTCCTGGAAGTGTCTGACTTAACGAGTCTTAGGGAGGGGCATCTAGGAGTTGGGATTTATGAACGCTCTCTAGGCAATTCTCATGTTCAGCCATGGTTAAGAACCACTACCCTACAGTGAAGCTCAAAGCTTCCAATCAGGTTTTAGTCTTCTACTGTTAATAGCAAGAGTGAAATCAAGGGTTATTTAAGAGGACATACGTGAAAAACCTCTAAAACAGAAGACAGAGGCAAAAACAAATAAACAGGTGTCCAATGGAAGGCCTGGGTTGATAACTGGGAGGATAAATAGGGCCGTGGACTTTGGGTGGAATCTTGCCCAAATTCAAGGATGACTGAGCAAGCTGTAGCAGAGCCAATGACTTTTGTATCGGACAAGTGGCGAGCAGCACAAGAACACGGCACCCCTCCTCAGTAATAGAATATCCCCCTTTGGCAGGCGACATTACAGGGTTCAGTGGGAAGACCTAAGCATAATTTTAACGGCAGCACAAAAGGCACAGTGACTCTGACTCAGTTGCAAGATAAATACAAAATTAGAGTATATTCTGTCCTTAAATCTCACCTTAAAAGTTTCCTTTTTCTTTTAAGCTTGCAATTGACTCTTTCTGTAAAGTGTCTTGTGATACTGTGAATTAGGCTGTATAAAAATAAAGCACATTGCATTATATAAAGTTTTACTGCTTTCTCTGCTATAACATCAAATGTGCTTGATTCTCCAGGCCTAATTTGTATATCTTTAGACTCACTGAGTAGTTTTTCACCTTATGAAGAATTCAATAAAATGGTATTAAAAGACACAAAGATTGCTGTCAGATATACATTCTTTTTTATCTTTCTCTGAGCCTAGGCCTTTGGCAAATGTTTTTTTGGATTTGCAAAATACATCTCACCAGCAAAGGCCTGCTAAGCTCACACAGAAGTTAGACCAGTTAGCATTTACAAACTGGAATAGCCATCTGCAAAAGACACATACTAGCAGGTCTTCACAACCAGTGTTTCCTAAGCGTCACATAATTGATAAGGAAAATCAGTATTTTCAAGCCCCAGAAGACAGGGAAACAGTTTGATTGCATATATTTGATAACTCCTGAATGACTTCAAATGTCACAAGAAGACAATGCTTCAATGTGGTGGCCAATGCAATAGAAAAATACTCCTAGGATAAAAGGCCTCCAGGCTTCACGGGAAATTCTATCTCATCTTGTATGAAATATACTGACAAAAATACATTTGTTCCATACCAAACCTAAACGTTCAGGGCCTCAGTTATCTGCTCTTTGGCTTCAACCTTAGCCTTTGGAAGGGTGTTAAAAGCCTAAGGTCTGCTTCAGTGTCACTTCTGGCATCTGAATGTATTCATAATCAATGATCATGTGACATGTGAAATGTCACAAAATCTAATTAACAACCAAACTAATATGAACAAGGTAAGCCATTTGGACTTACAGTTAGTATCTGATTATTCACTCTCAAATAGAGGTGAGCATGCTGGATACAAGTTGGTGTGAAAAGCTCCTTCTGTACTTTTGATATTGAAATCTTAAAAATCAGCTGCAGTTTAAATTTGTGTTTATTATTGCAAGAGTAAAATGCTACAATAATAATGATTATTATATGAAAATTATTGATTTTATGTACAAAATTAAGTATTAAAAACCAGAATGGTCAAATAAATGGGAAGGAGATTAATACTGCAAGTATTACGAAACAGTATTTGTTTTTGATCCCTCTCCTAAAGTAAAGGAAATAAAAGCAAAAATAAACAAATGGGACCTAATTAAACTTAAAAGCTTTTGCACAGCAAAGGAAACCATCAATGAAATGAAATGACAACCTACCAAATGGGAGAAAATATTTGCAAATGATATTACCAATAAGGGATTAATATCCAACATATATAAACAGCTCACACAACTCAACGTCAAAAAAACAAACAACCTGGTTAAAAAATGGGCAGAAGGGGCTTCCTTGGTGGCTCAGTGGTTAAGAATCCGCCTGCCAATGCAGGGGACAGGGGTTCGATCCCTGGTCTGGGAAGATCCCACATGCCGCGGAGCAACTAAGCCCGTGCGCCACAACTACTGAGCCTACGCTCTAGAGCCTGTGAGCCACAACGCGCGCTCTAGCCCACGTGCCTAGAGCCCGTGCTCCGCAACAAGAGAAGCCACCACAATGAGAAGCCTGTGCACCGCAACGAAGAGTAGCCCCCGCTCGCCACAACTAGAGAAAGCCCATGTGCAGCAATGAAGACCCAATGCAGCCATAAATAAATAAATAAATAAATAAATAAATAAATATTTTTTAATGGGCAGAAGAACTGAATAGACGTTTTTCCAAAGAGGAAATATAGATGGCCAACAAGCACATGAAAATATGCTCAACATCACTAATGATCAGGGAAAGGCAAATGAAAACCACAATGAGATATCACCTCATACCTGTCAGAATGGCTATCATCAGAAAGTCCACAAATAACGAATGTTGGCGAGGATGTGGAGAAAAGGGAACCCTCGTACACTGTTGGTGGAGATGTAGATTGGTGCAGCCACTGTGGAAAACGGTATAGAGCTTTCTCAAAAAACTAAAAATAGAAATACCATGTGACCCAGCAATTCTACTCCTGGGTGTGTATATGAAAAAAACAAAAACACTAAATTGAAAGGATACATGCAACCCAAATGTTCATAGCAGCATTATTTACAATTGCCAAGACATGGAAACAACCTAAGTGTCCATCAACAGATGAATGGATAAAGAAGCTGTGGTATATATATACAACGGAATACTACTCAGCCATTGGTACAATCTCACAAGACTGAACCGGGAAGAAATAGAAAATATGAACAGACCAATCACAAGCACTGAAATTGAAACTTTGATTAAAAACCTTCCAACAAACAAAAGTCCAGGACCAGATGGCTTCACAGGTTAATTCTATCAAACATTTAGAGAAGAGCTACCACCCATCCTTCTCAAACTCTTCCAAAAAATTGCATAGGCAGGAACACCCCCAAACTCATTCTACGAGGCCACCATCACCCTGATACCAAAACCAGACAAAGGTACTTCAAAAAAAGAAAATTACAGACCAATATCACTGATGAATATAGGTGCAAAAATCCTCAACAAAATACTAGAAAACAGAATCCAACAACACATTAAAGGGATCATACACCATGATCAAGTGGGATTTATCCCAGTGATGCAAGGATTCTTCAATATATGCAAATCAATCAATGTGATACACCACATTAACAAATTGAAGAAGAAAAACCATATGATCAATAGATGCAGAAAAAGCTTTTGACGAAATTCAACACCCATTTATGATAAAAACTCTCCAGAAAGTGGGCATAGAGGGAACCTACCTCAACATAATAGAGACCGTATATGACAAACCCACAGCATCACCTTGATTTGAAATGCATGTGCTCACCTCACACTGACAGGATGGACCAATTCTACCTTCTCAGATATCCCTTCTAATCACAGTCTATAGGGCCATCGTCTAAAGTGAACAAGTGAAAAACATAAAATGATGGAAAAAGTATTTTCCTCACTCAAGTGAAATCTGGTTTTATAATGTTCTTGCTCAAGAGACATCTGTTAGTATATTTGGATTTAAATGTTCAGATGTGCACTTTATTGCCAAGAAAGTGCTTCCAGTATAACTGCCCTGACAACAAGTCTGCTTTAGGAGAACAGCTTTGAGGTTCACAGTTTAATTGGCTGGAGCTAGATCGTGTTGTTTGTAACGAGGGCCCCTCTCCTATTTGACTTGTACAATGATAGCAGCATCAGCTCTCCAACATTAGGGGCTGCTTTGTTTTGCTTAAGAAAAGAAAATAGGAAGATGGCATAAGTTGGTACCTAGATTAGCTGTTAGGATTACAGTCTACTTAGACTTTTATAATGATTTGTTTTACAGCTTTATGTTTTTCACTGAGGAAAAGGGAACAAAGAGCTTTGGAACAGTGAGCTATTTGTGTATTTTCTGCACATGGTGTGTTAGCTTCTTCCTATCTCTTCACTGTATTACTAGAGTTCTGTTGACTGAAAAGGAACATACCAATGGAATTTAGTGTGTTTAGAGACTGGATATGGACCTTTTCAAATGAAGTGTGTTGAAAACGGCAGTCCCCATCAATCCTCTGGCCAGTGGTTTTTTGTATATGTATAAAAACACCTATTCAGTTTCTAATCTTTATTCTTGAAATGACTCTGTTTCTAATAAATACTGATACCACAAACCTAAGAATCATTTAAACTGAAACTTAAAGCTTCATGACTTCTGAAATATTAAAATGTCACATAAAAGCTACATTTTTAAAGGGGTTACATAAATTGTGTTTTATGATGCACTGTCTTATCATATCTCAAGAAGGGAATCTGAGCTGTGTTAGACTGCAGGCTTTATACTAGCTAAAAAGATTTTTAAACAACGGAGGAGAATGACAACAGTGCAATTATAATTTATTTTTAGGACTATGTAATGTACCAAACTCTCCATTTGATCTTTTCACTGTCTTTAACTGGCAGGAAATCTGCAATAATTTATAGTATAGAGATTAATTGAGGTGAGGATTTAATAAAGAATCTTTTTAACTTATTTTCTCCACATTTTTAAGACATATATTATATCTAGAAGCAAATTTCCTTCTGCTTATCCTTGCTGGGAAAATTTCATTTCCTTTAGCTCAATACAGAAAACCTGCACCTCTGTCTGCCAGAGAAATATGCTCAAGACGTGGTCTGTATCATGGCTTGATTCACCACAATAAATCGTTAATGATACATTACTGCACCAAAAAACAAGCAAATGCAATACCATGTTCTTTGTACATTTCAAACAGAGCCAGGAAATTTCAAAATACTCTCCTTCAACCCTTTAACATCAATATCACCACCAATACACATGTATTAAACACCTGCACTACACTTATAGCCCCGTATTAGATGTTGTTGGGTGTTCACATTCATTTACAACAGCCTGTGCTTTATAGTATACAAAGATTTTATGAAAAATATGCAGTAATTATTCACCACCTTTTTCAAGAACCAATCACTCAAATATAGAAATACCCAAATTGATTACTGTCAGCTGATATACAAAGAAATGGCACAAAAGGTCAAGAAGACTAACGCACCTGAAAAAAGAAAACTGAATAAAAAATTAGATGCCTAATTTAGTATATATGATAGTTTTAAAATGCTGGCCACTATGAATATTAAACTATACCAGAATGGCACATTTTACAGGTTATATTTTCTCTCTGGCTTCTGGTGCTTCAAGCTTCATGTTAGTGATTTATGATTTATAATGTCAGTCAAAGCTCTTAATAAAAATACAGCTTATGTCATTCAGTTGGGAATAGGATATTTTTCCTATCTCTCTCTGTAGGGTCCCACATACATATTGAATATATTTTAGTAGTAATTACGAAATATGAGGTTACAGGGCCATCAATGATTGTCATCATATGCCACTCAAACTCCTTTCTGATGGTACAATGAATTGATTGGAAATACCTTTTTGCTGGTGCCATCACACATTTGAGTGTACTGGGAGAAAAGAGCACAGAAGGCTGTCATTCTCCCTGAGAGGCAGAGACTTCCAGATATCTTCACAGTCCAATC